TATATATATATATATATATATATATATATATACATCTAAGTTGTTGTGATTATTATCTTTTATATTTGCTATAGATAATCCAGATCACTGTAATAATGAATTATTGAGGTCTGGTAGAGAACCAGTACAACATATTCATGTAAGTAATAAAGAGTATTGGATTTTATAGGCTCCAAAAAAGAATATTATTTATAGAAGTTTATCTCATTTATTAGACCGATTCCACATGTGGCAACAGTACAATAGTATCCACCAACATGCATGCATTACCAGCAAAATTAGAAGGATGTTTAGGCTTTTCTAACAATACTCCTCAACTTGGGGAAAGTCCACAAAGTAGTGGTGAAGTAATCAGTAGTCCTCGAAGTCCAGATTACCCTCCAAGGGTTTCAAATAGTCCACATAGTCCAGATATAATGTTTCCTATCACTATGACATCGACTCATACTAATTCTAATATAAATATAATGGATACAGCAAAATACAATGAAGAAAATAATGAAACATCAGAAATTAACAAAGAAATGCAGATTTATCAACATTATGGGGAATTAGCAACTAATGATTTAGAAAAATCTGTTTTACAAATAAAAATAAAGGATGAACTTAGTTTGGCCGAGGAACATATACAAGAATTGATTGTGAAAAGAGAAATAGTTGAACAAAAAGAAGAATCAGAAATGCTTCATGCAAATTGGGAAGATGCAAGGTTACTGATCAATGTTGTTAAAAAAACTGATGATGATGATAATACAGCACATCAAAAATGTATAGAACCTATTGGTACAGCATCTTCAACTTCTCATTCAAAGATGGACTCATCATCTAAAGATAAACGTAAAGAACATAGTGACAGAAGACATTGTTCGAGATGTTATAAAAGAAGTAAAATCAAACGGGCAAATGTTGGTATTCAATGTAAACGTGATCGCAATATACTTCCTTTAAATTCTAAGACAATTTCTCTACCATTATCAAAATTTACTAGTGATAATTTGAGACTAAACTTACAAATAAAAAATTTCAAAATGCTTAGTAGTTCAGCAATAAGGAGTGATTTATTATTAGAAGGCTTAAAGTATAAGAAATATATTCATATAGAAACATACCCTAATGGTGGAGCATCTATTGTGCATATGTTTCAAGATGAAATTGATACTTTGTCAAGTGAACAAGTAGAAGAGTTGGCACAAGAGTATTTTAAAGTATGTAATTCAAGATGTGAGCGATGTCTTAACCCTTTGACTGGTGTCAAACTATGGACGTAAAAGTGCGTCTAGTGATTTTTTTCTCTCTCATAAACTCATAAACATACATGGAAAATAAAAATGTTTTATTTTCATTTGGCGGAAATAAAATAAACACAAATACACGGAAATAAACAAAATACACGAAAACGACTTTGAAGAGTATTTCGCAGTCAAAGGGTTAATTACAATGAACAGTACACTTTTATCATATACTTCCTAAGTATAAATATTGATATTTCTAAGATATACATTAAAATGAAATATATGTAAAATAACACCACACACACATTTTTTTCAATATTATATATAATTTATAGGTAGTTTTTGGAGAAGATGAAAATGGTAATGCACATCATGTTATGGGAATAGTGCATAATGCAGCAGCATATCTCCCTGATCTTTTAGATTATATGGCAAATAACTATCCTACTTTAACTGTGAAAAATGGAGTATTAGGAAGAAGTAGTGATATTGAAACAACTACTATGGTACAGTACAAAGAGCAAGTATGCAAAGCATATAATAATGGAACAATACGATATGGACCTTTGCATCAAATAAGTCTTGTGGGTACTGTCCATGAAGAAGTTGGAGGTTACTTTCCCGATCTTTTACAAAAATTAGAAGAGAATCCATTTTTGAAATTGGTAAGAATAATAATATTATACACATATTAAAGTAATTAACGAATTAATTTTTATATAATTTGTATGTAACTAAAACAAAAGAGAACTCAGGGACGGAAACACTGGCGGGATTTAGTATTTGCGACAATGAACTTTTGAGTTTCTAATGCCAATTAGTAATAAGAATAATTATATTAATTTTAGACAATGCCATGGGGTCCACTATCAGTAGTAAAAATGGAAACTCCACAAGAATCAAATGATGGCCCTATTCTATGGATTAGGCCAGGGGAACAACTAGTTCCTACAGCGGATATAAATAAAAGCCCTTACAAGAGACGTAGAACGGGCATTAATGAACTACGCAACTTACAATACTTACCACGACTTAGCGAAGCTCGAGAATACATGTTTGAAGATCGTACAAAAGCTCATGCTGATCATGTAGGCCATGGATTGGACAGAATGACTACAGCTGCTGTTGGAGTACTAAAAGCAGTGCATGGTGGTCAACCGTCAGAATATAACAGAGCTACAAAAGACGTGGTTGCATTTTATGCTGGTGATTTTCCAGAATTAGTTGAAAAACTTCAACTAGACCTTCACGAACCACCAATATCACAATGTGTACAATGGGTCGAAGATGCTAAATTGAATCAATTAAGAAGACAAGGTATTCGTTATGCAAGGATAAATCTTTATGATAATGATATTTATTTTTTACCACGTAACATTATTCATCAATTTAGAACTGTCTCAGCTGTTTCAAGCATCGCATGGCATGTTAGACTGAAACAGTATTACCCAGATTCACAACATAATTCAAATATAAGACATAGCCGAGTTATTAATGAATCTACACATCGTGTTAAGGAAAAGAAACCATTAGAAACCGTTGGTATAGGAGACGAACAGAAAGAAAATACTAATCGTCAAAGATTAGAACAAAAACTTTATTCTGATTCTCTTGAAGAGAAAAAGGCTAAAGAAAGAGCTGCAGAGTATCAAGGAAACTTAAAAAAATCAGATCAACATGGAAAACGAAAAGACGATCGTAAAAGCCGTGATCATGGCCGACACTCGTCTGTTAAAAGAAAAGATTGTGAAAATGGTAATAAGTCTTCAAATCATTTCAATGATGATGTAACAAAAAAGAGTGGATCTAGTGATCAAAAATCAAGCAGAAGTAAAAGAGATAACAAAAGGTCTGATAAAAAACACGAAATACAACGTCCCAATAGTCACAAATCAAGTCATCATTCGCATGGTAGTAGTAGCAGCAGTAACAGTAGCAACAAAAGTAATCATTCTGGAGAAAAGAAGAAGTATGACTGTAGTAGTCATAAATTAGATCATCATCGCAGTCATCATAGTAGATCGAGTAGTAGTAATAATGTTTCAAATAAAGAGACTATTTCAAATGTAATGGAAGAACGAACCTCTATTAAATATGGTACAACAGGATCTCCTCTAAAAGACAGCAAAAGACATTATAGTTCTTCAGAACTTTGTCCACCTATATTGGAATCCTCTAGTCCTGAAGCTATCGTTTTGGACAATGAAGTGTTAAATCAAAGGCAGTTAATAGCTAAAACTTATGCAACTGAGGTTGTTGATAAGGCATTAGAAATTGCTATTTACAAATCTAAGACTGACGTCGAAGAAGTTTGTCAATCTCTGAGAATTGGTGTAGCTGAAGCTTCTAAAGAAGTTTTAGATAAAATTAGAAAAGAAAGTTTTGAAATTGCTGAACAAAGGTTCAAAGATGATACTGCAAAATTGGAAAGGTATTCTCAATTACTTGAAATGGAAACCGTATTAGCGTTTACATCGAAAATGGAATGTGCAACAGAAAATGCAGTAAAAGCTTTAATTGAAATGGCCGAGGATGAAGCTAAGGAAAGAACAAAGAATGATAAACCTTCTGAAAGTCTTGCCGAAGAGAATGTCGTTACAGAAAACCAAGTTCCCATTTCGACTAGCATTAATTCTTATTCTTCCGTTTCAATGACGTTCACGTCACCATTGATGGAAAGTGAAAAATACAATAGTAATAATAGAGTTAATAACGTTGAAGAAAAATCTTCAAAATCATCCGATCATCATGCTTCTATTGGAGAATCTAAAAGAAAGTATAGAGATGAGAAAGATTCTAGGAGTCAGAGGCACAAGGAAAAAAGAGATCGTGACAAACGAGATCGAGATCGTAAAAAACATCGTCATCGAAGTCCACAAAGTAAATCTGAACATAAAACAACAAGTGAAACAGCTAAGGAAAGTTCATCGAAGAACGTGACCTCCTCGTCGGTTCGGGATGGTTCCAATTTGAATAAATCAGCAGACTCTACTGATGTTAAAGAAAATGAAAAGAAATTAGAAAAACGAAAAGACAATCATCACAGTCACGGAAGAGACGGACAAAAGAGATCATCTAACAGTCGTTCGAGTAAAGATGATGCAGGATCAAGTCATTCACATTCAACGAGTTCAAGTCATAAACGTAAGTCAAGCTCGGAACATAAAGAGCACAAGAAATTGTGTACAGAGAAAGAAACTATTTCACGAACATCAGAGCAAACAAATATTATCCCTTTAACTCCTACTACAACAACATCTGTGACAACACCAACTGAAGCAGCTTCTACGAACGTTGTTACATCAACAACATGAAAAGGTGCAAATTATCTTCATTGTGTAATACAGTCTGTTTATAAAACCGACAGTTTATATTAACATGGATAGTAATAGAAATATGTGCATTTCTATTTGAATGATATATCTTGATACAATTAAATCAAGAATGATAAAAATTTGTGCTTGGTTCACAAACTTGAATATTTGATTACCACTTTGATTTGATGCACCTTCATAAACAGATCATGTTAATGATCTAATTGATTTTCAGAGCTTATTCTTGAGATTGACGTCTCTATTGCAAAAGTTATTTTGCTATGAAAACTCTGAATGTTTCATGAAGTGAAAGTGAAGAATGTAGTTGATAGATATTTATACTGTAAGTGATTGATCAATAAGTTGGTGTACAAATTAGAACTTGTACAAATTAGTGGTTGGGAATTTTTTTCCAATTAGCACAAGATTAATTGTGCATTGTATATAGACCAAAAAAAAAAATGCCCTATTGAGAAAGGATCGTGTTACAGTAAAATTTAATTAAATTATTTATATATTATAGATTTAAATATATGATAATAGTATACGTTAAATTATTTATATTTTCTTTATATCTTATAACAGTATACAGAAAATTCTATATTTGGAAAAAAAAAAGGCTATTAATCGTATTGTTCTTTATTCTTTTCATCAATTATTTAAAATTATTCTTAAATATTTGCATTGTAAAGCACAACATTTTTTGTTTTCCCTTATTAATTAGGAGTTTGAGATATCGATAAAAGAAGAAAAAGAAATAATAGACTACTTTTAATATATGAATTACATATTAAGTTAGAATCCCATATATTATATTATTATCGAAGATATATATAATAATACAGGTATATGCACATGCTTTTCGTATTTGTTTAGCAGTCTTGATATGTCATAATGTGTTACTGTCTTAAAGCAATATATCTTCTTTTCGTTTCTTTATAAATATAAATACATTTTTATACGGATAAAAAATATGCAACAAGGAAGCAATAAAAATTTCAATGTATTATTTGTTCAAAACAGAAAGAAAAAAAGTGTATCTTGCTTTAAGTTGTAGATAGCAATATTATGTTCACATTATGAGAAATAGTATTATGGGTAACAACAGACGTACAAATTCTTTGCCTTTGAAGATATTACTTGTTTGGGACAGTGAAACATTGCAACGGATTGATCACAAATGTTAATAATATTTTCTCTATTTGAGTAAAATAACAATTGTTCTAAAGATAATGGTAGCTATAGAAAAAAAGAAAAAAGGAAAAGTAAGTGAAAGAAAGGCGACAGGTACATGATTTTGTCTAATGCTAATGTAGATTTGTGTATATGAAATTTAACAATACACACAGTGTATAAAGTTGCTACGTATGTAACGGTATAATATCGTATATATTTTATATAATTTTTTATTTTCCATACTATGATCGAAGATCTAATATATAGATCGGAAATTTAGTTTAACAATATTTTTTCAATTCTCCAATTTCTTGATTCGTAAAAGCTTATAATTTTAAAATTTATTATATTACTATTAATATTAATATTCTATTATCATTATTATTATTTTTATTATTATTATTATTATTATTAATATTATTATCATCATCATCATCGTCATCATTATTATTATTATTATAATTATTATTATTACTATAATTATTACTATTATAATTATTAATATTATAATTATTAATATTATTATTATTATAATTATTATTTATCCAAAGCAGTACTTTATGTTATATAATTTCTCGAATATATTTTCCAAGTATAATATATTGCCTAAATTAATGTAATTGCATCATTAATTCGTTTTCAAACAGAACGAAGATTCATCTGTCCAATGGGCTATCATAATTACTCAGATCTGTGCGAAAAAAAAAACTGATAATTAGATATATAATATTTAAGTTTTTCAGGCTTATATTTATATACACATTTCTATTATACACATCCACTGTTTTCAAATTTATAGCAAGAATATATCTCAAACAGTGATAATCCCTCTTAATGCATTTTATTATACTACAGAAGAAAACAAAATTGAAGGAATACATTTTAATAAAATAGTTGTGTGTAATAAGAGTAAACGATCATTTGTGGATTTGTATCCACAAAACTATAGGACTAGGCAAGACTGAAAAAAAGAGTAGTATCCATTAGAATAGTATACTTTTCTTATAATTTTTGTTTTGTTTTTTTTTTTTCAATCTGTTGATCCCAATAGCATTATTTAAATCATCAATATAGATTTATGATGTTCTTCAATTAAGATTTTTGAACAAAATTTTTCTTTAAATCTGGTCTACAAACACATGTGATCAATGCAACAATTTTCGAAGGATAAATGAAAGAAAGATAGCGAGATTCAAATGCATTTTCTAATTATATTAATATGAATGTGCTTGATTAATTAATATCTTCATGAATATAATAAAACAGGCAATTATAATTACGGACATGATAAGTTCTCCATCTCCACAGAAAGAAAAAAAAAAAGAAAAGAAAAAGATAGAATGGACCAAATTGAAACATCAAAAAAATCCATAAGCTTCTTCTCTAATAATATTTATTGAAAGTGGTATAATTAAACCAAATAATATATAGGTGCTGGATACATCACAGATTTTTAAGGTGCCTTCTCTCTGTTTGTTGCGGTATAAGAAAAAAAAGATTAAAAACTAATTAATCATAATAGACTGCTCAGTTATAATCAGTCTATAAAAAAAAAGATAACTTTATTTTCCCTAGCACCACACAATATTGTAGCGTGTAATTTTTCCCTGTGTGTTACTATTATTTAATAATTAATAAGACATGATTGATATACGATCCATTTTGAATGGCTTTGTCTCTCGAACAATTTTCAAATTCGACTAATGACGACAAACATATTTGTGTCTGATTAAAACACGAACAATTATAAGAATGAATATTTAATACGCCTTCATAGAAGAACTCTTAATGTAAAATATGATCTTTTTGTAAATAATTGTAAAAAGAAAGAAAGGGAGAAGTGTATCTGTGTATGTGTGTGTCTTTCATTGTTGATTGATTTAATATTGAACAATTCAATATTGATCCATTTGAAAATAGTTTGAGAAACAAATATGCAGATAATTAAGTTATGTTCCAAAATACATGATAAGAGATAATAAGCACATAATTCTAAAATTTGTTCTATTTTATTAAACGATTCACAAAATGGAACAAGTGAATTCGTTCATTTGAGATAGCATTGGAAATATAGTCATTCATTGGCTTCCAAATAATGATTTATTAGTGTCAAAAATAAGGGACTTTTTTTTATCATTTTGAATTAACACTCCTTCAATCAAATTCAATTAATTGTTCCACATTTCCCAATTAACAAATTATTTATATTATATTATACGCGTGTATATATACATTAATAAAATATGTATCTTTTAATATTAAGCTCAGTGGTGTGGATAAAGGTTTGTGTAGATATAGTGTGTATTTTACAATGATACCGTCGAGGAAAACAAACAAACAAAAAATGCAAAACAACAACAAAATAACAACAGACTTCCGATAGATGCCTAATAGATTTCACACTTCCACGGTCGAACCAAATTTCGAAGATGCTCTTCAGTTTTTATACAAACTGCATTACTGAATAGTAGATTGTTAATCGTCGTTAATAAAAATGTATATGTAGATATTATACATGAAATATATGATAATAATAGTAATAATAATATAATATTAATAAAATAATAATAATAATAATAAAAAATATACATTCGCGTAAAAGTACGTTTAAAGAGACCAGTTTAATCTTAAACTTGTATTCTGCGGAATTGAGTTGTGTACATTTTGTAAATAACAACTTCTATACCAATGTGGAGTAGGAAAAGAAATGATTATGAATAATTGTAAAGAAATTAGTGCAAGAAGAAGTTTGCACTAATGAGATAACAAAATGAAATTTAATTATTGCTATTGAGATATTAAACTATTAATATTCTATAATCATACATAATGATATGATTATATACATATATATATATAAGAGATAAAATTATATAAGCACAGTTATATATGCGTATATGTATGTCTTCTTGTCTTATTACACATGCATGCATATACGCATATATATACATGCATATATAATAGTTGTAGTTTTACATATATCCACCATACGTGTAGAAGTCGCATTCCAACGTCTAAGTTTTTAAAGAATAAAATAAAATTACTTTGGTCAAAGATGTTCTATTATTTATTAATATGTCTTCTTTCTATTTTTTTAATTTTTATTTGAGTATTAGAAATCTTATGCCACGTTATAAATAATACTTTCTAATATTATTTTTATTCATTTGAAATGGTCCACAGAATAAATTGCTAGGGTTTTTTTCTAGTAAATAATACTATCTAGTAACATACGCCGATTTCAATTAATCTGATTTTAACAACAGTTAACATATAAATATTATATGAATAGTATTATTGTTAAAAAAATATAATTTAAAAATGAATTATGAATTTTACTATTATTTCATAAAATAATACGTATTACATTTTGTATACATATATAATGTTATTCTAAAAATAAGTATTGTTTTTTTTTAATAAAAATAAACATTTTTTGATAATGTATGTCCAAAGTACGATAGCGCCACAGTAATTCAGCAAAGTTAATTGATGTTAAAAGGTGTATATATATATATATTTATATATATTAGCATATGTTTATTATTATATATTGATAAAAATATATAATATTACAAATATTTATCATATAAAATAATATATTTATGTAATATAAATAGGATGTTTGCTCTTAGAAGATTTTTGATCAATAAACAATTTGCTCGAAATTATGCATCCGGAAAAAAATTATTAGAAATTACACAAGATGAAAGTACAGGTATTTTTATAATTATAATTGCTTGAAAATTGAATATTTATATTTTTACTAACTGAGTTTATTAAATGAAGCTTGCATATATTAGGTGTTCAAATAATATCAATGGCTAAACCACCGGTTAATACCTTAAATCTGGAATTATTAGAAGAATTAAAAAGCTCTTTAGTAGAAGCCCAAAAAAGTAATTACAAAGGCATTATTTTGAGTTCGTCATTACCAACTGTTTTCTCAGGAGGTTTAGACATCATGGAAATGTATAAACCAGATATGGAAAGATTCACTAATTTTTGGCGTACTTTGCAAGATATGTGGATGATTTTATACGGTTTAGAAATACCAGTTGCTGCTGCAATTAACGTACTGCATTATTCAATTTTATTTGTTTTAAACTTATTTAATATCACATATATTATAATCTTACCTCTACATAGGGTGCTAGCCCTGCTGGCGGATGTTTATTAGCCATTTCTTGTGAATATAGAGCTTTTGTTGATGGGAAACATACTATTGGGTTGAATGAGACACAATTAGGTATCATACCTCCACAATGGTTTGTAGATCCATATGTTGCTATCCTTGGTGAAAAGCGCGCCGAAAGAGCTATGATGAAGTAAATATTACAAATATTAAATAATATTATCAAAATTAGAACGTATACTTAATTGATATTTGATTCCTTACTTTTTAGGGGTACACTTTTTCGTCCCAATGAAGCTTTAAATATTGGACTTGTAGATGAATTGGTTAGTGATAAAGCAGAAGCTATTCAAAAATGTCTAAAGTACATATCTTCTTATGATAACATATCTAGTAAGTTTGCATATTTTATTCAAATTTAAAATAGAATTAAATATGTATACTTTTCACTAATAATATTTCGTATAATATTTTTACAGAATTGGCTAGAAACAAAATCAAATTAAAACTTCGTGGAAAATCAATTTCATGGTTACAAAAAAATCGAGAATTTGAGTTAAATGAAATTAAACAATTTATTCAATTGCCAAACGTGCAAAAAGGACTTCATTTATACGTTCAAGCATTGAAACAAAAGAAAAATTAATTATATTTTATGATACAAGCGTTATTGCTTAGAAGGAAAGATAAGAATAGTTAAAATGTGCATTTAAAATAAAAAATATAATACCAATACTGTGCAATATGATCAGAGTCTTTGAAAAAGCAATTTTAAAGAGAGGACGAGAAATATGAAATATATCTACTATATATTCAGGGTTGCGTCAGGTAATGTTAATACCTTAAATATTTGTATTTTTATAAATACGTCAAATATTTCAAAGAAAAAGTTAAATGGTTCAATGGTGCTCACACAATGCCAAAAATGTTTTTCTTTTTATCTTATATTTTTAAAAATAGAATAACCATTTTTTTTTTTTTGTTAAGACTTTTGAATACTCATTGAATTCATTTAACTTTTTCCTTAAGGCATTTGACGTATTGTTAAAAAGAACAGAAATATTTAAGATACCAACGTTAACTCTTTTATATTTTTATAAAATTTGACATTATTATATCTAAATATTTAAATATGTTATGAATAAAATTATTTTTATACCATTAATAATTATTCAACTCTATAATTATTCTTTCTTATTAGTTAAAAAAGAAATATTATCAACTTGATAATACGGTAGATGTAATAATACTAATGAATTAAATTGTTTATGTAAATCTTCTAGAAAATAGGTAATCTCCAAAATTTTTTGACGATGCCTGTTAGTTTCCTTACTGAAAATCAAAATTAATTTATTATTTTCTTTGATTTATATTTAATAACTGGTTTATACATACTTATATAGCTTTTCGCAATAATCATTGACCCATGTTTTTAGTCTACCTAACATAAGATCTTCTCTAGCATCAATTGTCTATAATGAATAAAGAATAATTTTATTTTATAATTTTGATATATAAATATATTCAATGATTTACTTACATGTAAATGTAAATCGTGTGATGCTGCCAGATTATTGCTCAATACATCTTTATCTCCGCATAGTTCTAACAAATGACGTGGAATTTTAGTTTCATCCCTAAAACCACTGATAAAGTATGAAATAATATTATTAATAGTATCGTTGTATTCCGCTTCAGCATTTCGCATTTGTGAAAAATATTCTCGAGCAATTTCCAAAAATTGCTCAATCATGTTAGTCATGTTTATTTTAAAAATTTCATTTATTTCCTTTTGTATAACGAAAGAATACTCATCATTAATAAAATTTTAAAATATCTCATTTGTTATTTTTTCATTTATATTATTATTAATACATACTACTAATTGATCATGTAATATAATTTCTTTGGACATTAATTTTGTCCATGTTTTAGATATCATATCATTAAAATGATTAGACCAATCTTGTACTACTTCAACATTATCATCAATATCATCCATTTCTATGTCATCAAGTATATGAAATAATAAATTTATTTGTGAAAAAACTTTAACTTTTTCGTCCATTAGTTCATTTACGATACTAAGGATAAAAGCACGTTATATGAGTATATATTTTAATAAAAAAAAATTAATAAAACATGTTTAACATAATAAAATAATATTTACTCTCTTGAGTCGTTTAGTTCTTTACTTTTGCCATCATTAACAGCATCATTGAATAATTTAATTTCATTATCTCGTTTAACTTGTTCCTTCAATCCAATTTCATACAATTCATAGCATATAGACGTGATTTTGTTTTTATATTCTTCAAAAGCATTTTTTGTATCATTATTTACTGCAGACAAATCTTTTCCTTCTAATAAATACAAATATTTTAATATATACTACTAGTGTTTCAAATAATTGAGTATATGATGATAATATTGGTAACCTTTGTCATCAAGATACATTTGCCAAAAAAAGCTATCATCATTTAAATATTCTACATATGATTTAGACAATAAATTTTGTAAATTTTTATATGTTTCTTGTTCATCCAATTGCTTTTTCTTTTTTGCTTCTTCCTCTTCTATATTACTAATCAAACGTCTAAATCAAAGAATATGAAAAATTATATATATATATA